TCTCTCTCTCTCTCTCTCTCTCTCTCTCTCTCTTTCTCTCTCTCTCATCCAAGATAGGGTCTCAAGCTGGTGTTGAACTCGCTATGGAGCCCAAGTTGGCCTCAAACTTGTAGTGATCCTCCTGCCTCAGCCTCCCAAGTGTTGGGATTATAGGCATGCACCACCACACCTAGCTAGGAAAAGAATTTTAAATCAAGGCACAAATGTTAATCATGACAGAAAAGATATGTAAGTGTAGCTGCATTAGCTGCCTCTTAATCAGATACCAAAATTATAGTGAACACATTAGTCACAAAGTGGGTTAAGATACCTACAGCACAAATAACAAGCAAATATCATGTGTATTTTAATTACCATTCAGGATCTATTTCCAGCAAGGAAATCATATGTTGGTTCTTTAAACTTCATGCTTGTTGTAACTTGCATCTAAATGTCCCCACAAAGCCTCAGGCATTCATAGATGAGGCTTTTCAGAACTGGCTATGTCTAAGATGTGTGAATGTGGATTAAGTATGTGAATTAAGGGTATGGATAGTGGAAGCCCCAACCTGGGTGTGGGTGGCACCAACTAGTAGGCTTGTAGCCTGAATGCAGTACAAAGGGACAAAAAAGGCAGGCTTGCTCTCTTGCTTGCTGTGTTCTGCCTGCCAAGGATCACCATGAACTGCTTCTCTTCTGTGATGTTCCTCAGCCATGCCACTCTGCTTTGGAGCTCACTGACTATGGACCAAACCTCTACAAACTGTGAGATGAAATAAACCTTTCCTCCTTTAACTTTGAGTGTTCTGGATATTTTGTCTGAGCTATCAGAAAAGAAATTAAGATAACACTCAATAGAAAGGCTTATGGAAGGAGCTGGATCCTGGCCTGGGGAGGAATGGCAGATGGTCCTGCAGAGTGAAGACTTAAATCCAAGATCGTGGCAAAGCATCTCAAGTTCACTGACAGGACTGTGGTGGTACAAGATGGAAACGTGGAAGGTGCATACAGGACACTAAACAGAATCCTCACGATGGATGGGCTCATTGAGGACATTAAGTGAAGAAAATAATGGCGTCAGGGAGATGGCTCAGTGGAATAAGCGCTTCTCTAGGAAGCGCAAGGGCCTGAGTTCAATCCCCAGTTCCACAAAAAAAAAAAAAAAAAGATACTGTGAGAAGCTTTGGCTCTGCTGCCAGTGGGAAAGCTACAAAACCTGTTGGCAAATCTACAACATAGAAATGGCTCAAAAGATCAACTTCTTGATGAGAGAAAATTATCAGGATCCATGGTTAGGAGGCCCATATCCAGTTTGTGTCTCCACCTCTTCTTCCTTAAAATTCATTTTGTTACCTTTCTCTGTAATAAACTCAGTCACATGTATGCAGAAAGAAAGAA